ATCACAATTAACGTGGAACTGAGCGCAGGTAAGACACCTCCCCTGACACACCTTCATTAACATATGTTAAACAGATGCAGATTACTTCTCGCATGTGTGAAGGACATGTTTGATTGATCCCTGCATGATCAGAAATGATTTCTAGAGTAATGAATTTAATATAAAGTGAGTGAGAAAAAAATCCTGACTAAAAATAAGAGTAAAATATGTTTATCACGCAAAGAACGAGTGATTTTGTTTGTCGGTGTGTGAGTGTGTGTGTTTGCGCAACCGGCTCATCCATCCATTCTGAGTCTGAAAATATTAGCTTTGCGCATGAGTTTATTGCCATAATTACTGTAAACACAGAGGAACTTAAATGTTTGGTAGAACTTAGATCTTAGTTTATTTCATAGCTGATATGAAGAAACGACTCTCTGCCTCAGTGGAGAGTTTTCACAACATAACATGATGTTGGGGAGTCTCTGCAGCCTTTGTGTGCAGTCTGTTTGTCTGTCAAGCTTTTGCTGTCCTACTTACAGCATTTTCACAAGTTATAAAGTGTACTTCCACGTGTCATTTTGGAGAAATCTACAACAACGTAAACACCAAGTATGAAACACCTCCACTGCAGGCGAGGGTGCACGCTCCAGAGCGCAACCATAACTCAGCCTTTAGAATCACATGGATGAGATGATACCATTGGGCAGGCTTCAGCTTTGGGTGGACTGGACTGACACAGTCCTAATGGGTCTGCCAGCTCCCTCTGGAAAGCTGTGGAGCCCCAGTTCAATCGCTGCTGCCCGTGCACGCGTGGCGCACGGCTCCTTGCTGTGTCGCGCTCTCAGAGCACAGCAGGGCCAAACTGAAACAGGATTATTTCTGAAAACCGCTGAGCCATTCGTCATCGTGGATCACAAAATTGTGTTTATAAATAAAAGCTCTGTGTGTTACACTATTTATTATATCCTCCAGTAAGGCTGAATCTGTTGCTGGTAAATGTATTTTTGGCACAACTTTGCGCGTCCTTTATCTAACTGCGTCCATGTGGATGTAATAATTGTTAATCATGTGGATGTAATAATAGTTAATCATGTGGATGTAATAATNCCACACGGTTGAACCTGCTCCCTTTATTTACCACCTGACTGTCAAACTGTGACGTGAATAWCCCGCAGTAAAGTGGTAAACAGGAGTATCAAAACACTTTTATAAGTACTGATACAAATACATGTGATATCAGGATTTGGTACCGATGCATCCATAACAAAGAGAGATTTAAAAAATGCAACCTGTCTGAGATGAGATTTCAGGTTTGGGTTGGATTAAATGAACAGTGTTGTTTTAATTACAAAATAAATATCCTTTGGAATWGTTCATTTCATGTTTTRTTTTGTTTTTTGTTGTTGTTTTTCAGGGCTATCCAGACCCGACTCAGATGCTCCTAAGCTATTTTGACTCAACATTAAGATAAGAGAAATGTCACTAGCAACCTAAAGTGATGTTGGAGAGTCTCTGTGCAGTCTGTTTGTCTGTCAAGCTTTTGCTCTCCTAATTACAGCATTTTCACAAGTTATAGTGTACTTCCACGTGTCATTTTGGAGAAATCTACAACAAAGTAAACGGCCAGCGAGGTTGCATGCGCTCCAGAGCGTGACCATAACTCAGCCTTTAGAATCACATGGATGAGACCATATCATTGGGCATGCTTCGGCTTTGGGTGGACTGGACTGACACAGTCCTAATGGGTCTGCCAGCTCCCTCTGGAAAGCTACTGTGGAACCCCAGTTCAATCGCTGCTGCTGCACGTGCACGCGTGGCGCACGGCTCCTCGCTGTGTCGCGCTCCCAGAGCGCAGCAGTGCCAAACTGAAACAGGATTATTTCTGAAAACCGCTGATGAGCCATTCGTCATCGTGGATCACAAAATTGTGTTTATAAATAAAAGCTCTGCAAGTTGCACTATTTATTATATCATCCAGTAAGGCTGAATCTGTTCCTGGTAAATGTATTTTTGGCACAACTTTGCGCGTCCTTTATATACTGTAACTGCGTCCATGTGGATGTAATAATAGTTAATCATGTGGATGTAATAATTGTTAATCATGTGGATGTAATAATTGTTAATCATGTGGATGTAATGATAATTAATCATGTGGATGTAATAATAGTTAATCATGTGGATGCAATAATTGTTAATCATGTGGATGCAATAATTGTTAATCATGTGGATGTAATAATTGTTAATCATGTGGATGTAATAATAGTTAATCATGTGGATGCAATAATTGTTAATCATGTGGATGTAATAATAGTTAATCATGTGGATGTAATAATTGTTAATCATGTGGATGTAATAATTGTTAATCATGTGGATGTAATAATAGTTAATCATGTGGATGTAATAATTGTTAATCATGTGGATGTAATAATTGTTAATCATGTGGATGTAATGATAATTAATCATGTGGATGTAATAATAGTTAATCATGTGGATGCAATAATTGTTAATCATGTGGATGCAATAATTGTTAATCATGTGGATGTAATAATTGTTAATCATGTGGATGTAATAATAATTGTTAATCATGTGTGTCTGCTGTGAACAATAATCATTTTCACATCAAGAACAGTTTCTCAGAATCACCTCTAAGTGTCGCCAATAGAACCAAAACCACAGAACGTGCGTACACCTGCCCTGGAGTTGGCGTGGGGCTGCGCACATTTCCACGCTCAGTTGAGTTTTGATACATCCTGAGTTTTGCGTGGCAAATGGCGTACACAAGGTTTTTGTGCGTACGCACTGTTGATACATRAGSCCCCTGGTGTRTTAGAACTTACTTTGGTTTTGGCAGAGGCTCTGGTTCTTTCCGTGCTTTGCCGACGGGGTTCTTTTCAGCCTCATCGGCTGTTACAAGATGAAACTCTGCCTCCACTTTCCCCTGGAGGATCAACATGCATGTGCTGGGTCAGACTTTGTGTGTTGATGTTTTATAATAATGCACGTGTGTGTTTGTTACAGTGAGCTCTCCAGATTTGAGAAAAGGCCACCAGCCTCGAGCTCTCTTCTGCTGGAAGATGGAGGTCCTCTCACTYGGCTCTGTCAACATGTCTGCCTTACAGGCCTTGGCTGTCTTTGCTCCACGGGGGAATCCATGGAGGTCCATTTCCAATGTGCCTGAACAAATTAAACGTGTCACACACACACMCATTCACGCACACATGCAGAAGCGGCTATACACCTACCGAGGAAGTCGTCTGAGGAGAGCGTCTCAAAGTCCCACACCTGCAGGATGAGGATGGCAGGCAGCTTCTGCTCTGTTTTATCCAGAGAGAAGATATGRTCTCTTTTCTTCACAACCACAACCTGTGAGAGAAGAACGATCCTGTCAGAGGAGGGCTCCTGGACACCACTGTGGTCCATGTTCTTCATCAGGATTGTACCTTTTCAGCTGGCATGTAGCTGAAGGGGAACACAAAGCGCCAGTTGAAGTTTCCTTCTCCAGTCAGAGAGTTGTAGTGCACGTCGGTCTCCTGTCGGTCATCTTCCAGTCCTTTCAGCCAGCTTCAGAAAACAGGAAAACAGCAACCATTTTCAGGGAAATCACTTCTATTAAGGTAAAAATATAATGTAGATCATGTTAGACGTTGGTAGAATGTGGCTAAAAAGGGCTGTGGCTCAAAATACAAGCAAAATACTGATATTTTATAATTTATGAATGTTAGATTCTCTCGCTTTACTTCTGTTAATAAATAATGATGCAGGAGAATTTGTTGTTTGTTTTTTTAACACTTGATGTTAGGTTTGATTAAGCTGCTTCATGGAAGAAGAATCCCAGCTTAGCCTGTTAGCCTTTGTGCTAGCACTGACGCTATAGTGCCTTATGCTGCGTTCACACCGAACGCGATTTCAGCTTCAAAATCGCAGCCAACGCTGAAGTTGGT